AAGTCGCTGATTTTTAATAAATCCTCAGTTTGTTTTTTAATCCCTTTTTCTATTTCATTTTGGGGTGAAAAAATGAAGGCTGGTGTGTCAATTAATCGGTAAAAATTATCATCTATTTTGATTAAATTTTCAGCATAATTAATTACCGGACTGGGGTTAAATTTACTCTTGCCTGGTTGGGGCGGAAAACACCTTGCCAATTGACGAAAAAGAGTGGTTTTTCCAACTCCCTTGGTTCCGATTATCGTAATTATTTTCATGAAAAAATTATTTTCTCTTTGGTCCTATTAGTGAATGCTAGATTAATTTTTTTTGTGTTAATTTAGTCGAAAACGTCTAAATTTCTCTCTTTTTTCTTTTCAAACTTTTCAAATTCCCGCAAATTTTCTTTTACTTCTTAGCTTTTTTGGAAGTAGTTTGCTTTTTCGTGGTTTTAGGTTTAACTACCTTCTTTTTTTTACTAGATTTATTTTTCAATAAGTTGGATTTATGAGTGGGTTTGGATTGAGTAATAGTTTTTTTATCTTTGGTTGGCATAATTATCTTTTTTTAGTGTGTTCTTCTCCTCTTCGTAAAGGTTGTTTTTTCTTCCTTCTTTTGGTATCTCGGGTTTTTTTAGTCATATTAAATAATATTTATTTTCTACTTCGGCTTTTAGTGCTATTTTCTCAATTTTCTCACTAATTTTTAAGTCTTTTTTTGCTGTGTTAGGCTTGGCTTTTTAACGCTTTTTTAATTTTATTTCCACAGGGAGGTGTTACTCCCTCGTTATTATTTATTACTCATACTTATTATTGATTAATTTTATTTTGACTTAAACCCTGCTTTTTGCTTTGCAAAATGAAAAAAAAGAGTTTTTTTAAGAATAAAATAATCACAGATTATTTATTTCCCAGCGGTTAGGTCGGAGTCTAACCGCTTATGGTTTGAATTTCTGATTAAAAGCCGTGGAACATTTGGAATGTCCGGAGGAGGGGGGTAATCTCCCTTTCTTTTCGCACATCTGCGTTTGTGCTTTATAAATGCTGCTCTACTAATTTTTTCTGCTTCGCCGAATTAATTTGCTTCACTGAACTAGTTTCTTCGGTAATTTTTACTTGTAAAGGTAAATGTAATTTTTCCACATACGCGATTAAACTATCCAAGGAAAAATTTTCTACATACCCCCGCAATAATTTAGCCGTCGCGTCCTTATCTAAACCTAATTTTTGGGCTATTTCGGCTTCTGAAAGGTTATTTTTAACCAAATAACGAGTAATTACTTGGCTAAATTGATATTTGGTTTTTTCACCAACACTAGCATTCTCGCCCGGCATTCAACTACCTAAACAATTATCACTTTCTACTCACTGAAAAATTTTCTCCTCCTCGGGGTCAACTGGCATTTTAACAATTTCCTCAGTATTTTTTTTGCTGGTTGCCATAATTCAAATATTTATTATACTATACTGTTATTTTACTCGTAATCAGGATGACAAGTCCGCACTCACAAATAAGCATCAGGCTCTTTTCACCATCACCAAACTAATTTATACCTTTTATTGTCTTTTTCGGGATAATCTTTAAAGTAATTTTTATTTTTTTCTTGCTTGCCACTGAAAGGAAAATAACGAGTATTCAGCAATTCCACCATTTCAATAATTCCTTCCCGCGTAATACCATGCTCAAAATGTTTATCACAATGAGAACTAACGCCAACATATTTAATTAGGCGGTCATTAACGATAATTGAGTTATCTAGTGGCCGGAGATAGTAAGTAATTACTTCTTTTTGAACTTTTTCTTTTGTTAACACAAACTATATAAGAATTTTAATTTTACTAATCCTACTAGGTTAATTTTATTTTTCATATTGTCAGAGAGAGAGAGAGAGAGAGAGAGAGAGACGATTTTAATGCCCCTTTCTTCGCCCTCTCTGCCCCTTAATATTTAAATTATCTAATTCTCTTTAACCTCTTTTTACCTGCTAATCGCACCGCACCAACTCCAACCAGCACACTTACTCCCAACAGTATCAGGTAAATAATATGTAATCTCTCAATCCTCTTTTCTTGCTGTCCTAATTTATAATGTATTTGATATTGTTTGGGATAATTAGGGAAAACTTTCATAATCGTAATAAATATTGATCCAGCATTGTTGTCTCATTTGCTAGGTATGATAAAAATAATAATCTACTTTTGATTTATATCAAACTACTCTATATTAAAATTTTTAGTTTTTTTTTAGTTGGGTGATTTTTCCATAATTATGTTTCTGAATCAACTTCTTTTGTGGTCCTTAATTTATTTAGACTATTATATAATTGTCTTTTTTTGCGGTCGCGTTTTCTCGGGTGGATTATTTTTTTATTTTTGGCCTTGTCTAATATATTTTGTGTTTCTGAAATCAAAATTTCTAATTCTTTTTGCTGAGCCGAAACTGCGTTCTCGTCAACTTTTTGTTTTTGTAAATAAACCTCAATTTTCTTGAATTGATTCTTGATTAGCGTCTTATATTTCCGATTACGGGCTTGCTTTATTTTATTTTTTTCTGCTTCTTTGATTACCATTAGCGTGATGATAATTATATTTTTTATTTCGTTCTTTCAAGTTATACCGAACAGAATTTATTTAACCTCGTAGCATTTTCCTAAAAACAAGTGGAACCATTTTTCACTAAATAGTAGTTTTTCTTGTTTATCTTTTTTTTGCCAAATTGTAACAAGCAGTCCTTATTACCTTTTTAGAAAATGTTTCACAAACATTCTTATTGTCATCATGCAAGCCTAGTAAGTAATCACCATTTTTAACCACTCGGCCATATATATTATTTTTGCTGCAAAAAAATATTGAAGATCAAAAGGAAGAATTAATAAAAGCCTTTGGAGAAATTATTGGGGAAGCGGATATGGAAGAGTTAACTAAAAAACCGGCGACTGAGGTGATAAATGAAGTAAAAGCAAAAGTAAAAGGGGTGATTGAAATTCGGGAAAAAACTAATAAAACACTTGAAACCAACAATAGACTTCTAGAAAAGGATATTGAAGCCCAAAAATATTTTGTCGAAAGCCAAGAAGTGGTTATTAAACAGGCTCTCGAAATTGCACCGAACATTTCTTTACCCGAAAAAGAAAATTGAGAAGGAGAATTAATTAACAAGGTTCGTGCTTCAAAAGAGTTGGAGACTAGAATTAATGAAATAAGCGATGAACTAGCAAACACAAAAAAAAGATTAGAGGAAGTTAATAAGGCCAAAGAAGAGGTTGTGAAAAAAAGAAATGAACTGTCCAAGAGTAATAGAACCCTATTAGATGAAAAATACCAAAATTATGATGAATTAATGGATGACTTGAAACAGCCAGGGCAACCAAAAGACTTAATTCTTTTTTATCAAAAAATTAGGGAACTGACTACTAAATTGTATCAATTGGCTAATCAGGAAGCGGAAAAGTAAAGGCGGACGTGTCGAAACCATTCCGCCCCATTTAATGAGTAATAGCCACATCATTTCGTTACTGGATCTTATTGACGACCTAAAACAACAAAGAAAACAAACCGAGGCCGGTTTAAACCAGGCCAAATCCCAAGTCTTAGCCGATTTAAAAGAACTCGAAGGAGAAATTACCGATAAAAAAATAACAAAAAAAGTTAATGAAACTTATCCTCACACGATTACCGGAACGGATTGAACTGCCCATTTAAAAGAGAATGATAATAAGATTACTAATTCTTGGCAATTAGCGGAGTATGTGGGAAAAGTAGCCAAAATTATTCAAGCAGAAATAATTGCCAAAGAGCAGAAAGCCACTAGAACCGCTAAAAAAGAATTAGCCGACCGAGAAAATAAAATTAATGATTTGCTTGGTAACCCACACGCAACTCTTTTGCCAAATAGTTGAGAAAATTGTTTGGTTAAAAAAAGTATGGTTGTTGGTGATTTGGGTCTAAATGATTATGCCGAATTAGCGATTAAACTGGATGGTGCCAATTTAGGGACCCAAACGGATGCCGATACTAATGGCATCCCAGATGGAAAAACTCTCAAACAATTAATAGATGACTATAATTCTGGTCAGATTAAAATTACTGCTTACGAGAAAATTATCAAGGATGACCTGGGATTTGACCCTGCCAGCCCGGATTTGAACACCCAAATAAAAAAACATTTAGGCGGGGTAGAATTAGCAGGGGTTTCCACAGACTTAAAAAAATTAGTAGATAGATATAATATTAGCAATGATTTGCAGGGCAAACTATCCCAAGTAGAAAAAGAGGCATTGGCTGCTCAAAAGGAATTAGAAAAATACCAGGATTTTGTTAGAATACTAGCAAAAAAAATTGGTGTATCCGACCATCATTTTGAGAAAAATGACCTTTCCGTTTTGGAAAAAGATATAAGTGATTGACTGAAGGATTACCAAGAGAAAATTGAAAATGAATTATTAACCGAAATAAACACTCTTGGATTAGGTTTAAACGATATTACGAAAGAAAAAGTCTTAAAAACTATAAAAGAGTTGATTAACAAACCAATCCAGATACAGAAATAGTAGAAAACTTAAGAGAAAAAATTCACGTTCAAGAATTAATAATTACTGATTATCAAAGCGGTGATAAATATATGTCAAAAGAAATGATAAGCAATAAAATGCAAGAGACTTTAAAGATTCTGAAAATACCTACTTCTCAGTATTACCAATTGGCCTCAGCCCAAAGTTTACCAGAGATGGGAACTTCTTTTGAAAAACTGTTACGGGAAGAAGTTAACCAAAAAGAAAAAGCGAGGAACAAATTGATTAAAATTAATGTGATTTTAGCAGTCTTGACTATTGGAAGTTTGCTGACTTTGACTTGAACATTGATTATGATTAAACAAAAAAATAATTTACCCAAAATAGAGAAAATGAAGAAAAAAGGTTAAGTAGGAATAGATTAAAGAGATTTCGTGAAAGGGGGCAGTAATGCCCCCTAATAAAAAAAACAAAAAAGTTGAAAAATAAAAATAAGTGAGTGAAAAAATTCAAAATTTGATAAAGAATACGTAGTTTCATATGACCCCGAAGAATTTGGCAAAAAGCCATTGCGACCATTTCCTGAAAAAGGAAAAGTTTACTGGTTTTTCTTACATAAAATTACGGGCGGTGGTGGCAAAAATAGCCAGCACGATTGGCAATTAGTTCACGACTGACAATTGGCTGAGGAAGGCAACTTAGGGTCAGATAAGTTCTTCAAATCTAATCTCTGGCTCTGGCTAATTGGTGGTTTAATAGCGTTGGCGATTATTGTAGTGGTTATCTACTTTTGGCCGAAAAATTAAATATTAAAAAATAATAATATAGGTTACTTGTTCTCCTAGTAATAATAATAAAAAAAACAATTGTTAATAATATCTTTGAAAACTAGACGGAACCAATTTTGCCTGTGAGTGAATTCTTACAGTTTATTCTTTTAAGAGTTTGATCCTAGCTCAGGATTAACGTTGGTAGTATGCCTAACACATGCAAGTCGAACGGCAGCACAGTAGAGGGCAACCTCTATGGGTGGCGAGTGGCGAACGGGTGAGTAATGCTTATCTAACTTGCCAATTAGTGGGGGATAACCCTGGGAAACCAGGGCTAATACCGCATTTTTTGCTTCGGCAATGAAAGGGGGTCGCAAGATTTTCGCTAATTGATAGGGATAAGTCGTATTAGTTTGTTGGTGGGGTAATGGCCCACCAAGGCAATGATGCGTAGCCAGGCTGAGAGGCTGATTGGCCACAAGGGAACTGAGACACGGTCCCTACTCCTACGGGAGGCAGCAGTGAGGAATCTTCGGCAATGGGGGAAACCCTGACCGAGCAATACTACGTGAAGGAGGAAGGTCTACGGATTGTAAACTTCTGTTAGTGCGGAAGAAGGGCTGAACGCGAGTTCAGTCTTGACGGTACGCACAGAGAAAGCCACGACTAACTACGTGCCAGCAGTCGCGGTAAGACGTAGGTGGCGAACGTTATCCGGAATTATTGGGCGTAAAGGGTGCGTAGGCGGCGGAATAAGTTAGTGGTGGAAAATCGGGGCTCAACCTCGTGGAAGTCATTAATACTGTTTTGCTAGAGGACAGGAGAGGTTAACGGAACTCCTTGTGGAGCGGTAAAATGTGTAGATATAAGGAAGAACACCAATAAGGCGAAGGCAGTTAACTATTCTGATCCTGACGTTGAGGCACGAAAGCGTGGGGAGCAAATAGGATTAGATAAATCCGGTCGTGCTCAAAAAAAGCGACCAAAAGTGTCCCCTTTGATTGCAAAATCAAAGTGTGCATTCAGCTATATCGGAGAAAATTTAAGTAAAAATTAAACAACTCCGAGGGAAGTCGTAATTGACCCCGTAGAGACTATGAAGTATCAGGAGATAGAAGGTATTTCAGTTTGCTAAAAAACAGCAAATCTGAGATAAGGCCATGTGCCATGGGTCGGGCATCCCCTAATTTGCCCATTTAACGATAATAATGTTAATTCCTAATTTAAGTTTAAAAAAAATTAGTCAAATACCTTTGTCGGATTCAGTTAAGTCAATTATTTTAGGTTCCTTGCTTGGTGATGGTTCTTTGCGAAAGGCCAAAGGTTATAAAAATGTGCGGTTTTCTTTTCGCCATAGTCAAGTTCAAGAGGAGTATTTTCTCTGGAAGGCACAGGCTCTCCAAGAAATATCTTCTCCTTGTTCAGTGCAAAAACAAAAAGCGGATGGATATAGCAAAAATGAAAAATTGCTTTTCCAAAGCCGTGCGTTAGAAGAATTGAATGACCTTTATAATATTGTCTGTAAAAAAAAATGTTTACAAATTAGGAGAAAATGATTAAATCATTTAACTCCTTTATCATTGGCTATTTGATGATGTGATGACGGAGCAATTATTTCTAATGGTCGGAAAGGTGTGTTATGCACTGATGGATTTACCAGAGACGCCGTCGAAATATTAGTCAGATATCTAAAAGTATGTTGACAAGTTGAGACGAGGGTTGGTCCTATCCACCGAAAAAGAGATGATGACAATAGCAGCAAAGAATATTACCGGATCTGGTTTAGCACGGAGGAATTGAAAAAATTCCTACGACTAATTTTACCATTTATTCCGGTTCCAAGTATGATTAGAAAAGCCTTAATAATTTATAAGAATCCCGAACTTCAACAACGCTGAATCTCTGAAATGAAAAATCTCACTCCTCATTATTCTAAAAATATTGATGAGGAACTGATTAAGAAAAAGCAGAGAATGATATAGTCCAATTTGGCATTAGCCAATTTGACCCTAGTAGTCCACGCCCTAAACGATGAGTGCTAGATATTGGGAACTTGATTTTCAGTGTCGCTAGGTAACCCGGTAAGCACTCCGCCTGGGTAGTACGCTCGCAAGAGTGAAACTCAAAGGAATTGACGGGGACTC